GAAAAAACATCCTCCTGCTGTGCTTTTTCTATCATCTACATTTCCAACCGAGTCAGCATCACTATAACCTGCAAGATTAGAATTTGTATCCTTTGAATACCAAATGCTGTGATTTGCCGTGCCTTTCAGATATCGAATGATCCTCTTTACCGCTGCCAAATGTGATTCCTTTGGATCTGCCTAGTACCTAGCACACACACCAACACTAAAACAAATATCAGGTCTACTGGCTATGAGATAAAGTAGACTACCAATCATGCTCTTATAGAGACTTGGATCAATTGACATTCCTCCTTCATCCTTGATTAATTTGACTGTGGAACGCATTGGGGTTCTCATGTCTTTTGTTTTGTCAAGACCGAATCTCTTTACTAGGTTGTTTGCATACTTTGCTTGTGAGAAAAAAATCCCATCATGCACCTGTTTCACCTACAATCCTAGAAAATAATCATGCCACTGTTTCTCCAACCATACTCATCTCAAATTCTTTCTTCATTTGATTGACAAACTCATTAATCTTGACCTGTGAAGTAGATCCAAAAACAATGTCATCAACATAGATTTGTGCAATAATCATGCCAGTTTTGAATTGTTTAATGAACAAAGTTTTATCTACTCCCCCTCGCTTGTATCCATTCTCAATTAAAAAATTTGTTAATCTTTCATACCATGCTCGGGGAGCCTGCTTTAGTCCATAGAGAGCCTTTTTTATATGAAACACATAATCAGGATGATATGGGTCTTCAAAACTTTTTGGCTGCTCAACATAGACTTCCTCATTTAAAAAATCATTCAAGAAGGCACTCTTTACATCCATTTGATAGAGTTTGAAATCTAGAAGACATGCAATAGACAAAAGTAGTCTTATAGATTCAAGCCTAGCAACTGGTGCAGATGTTTCATCAAAGTCTATGCCTTCAACCTGTGTGTACCCTTGTGCAACTAACCTAGCTTTGTTTCGAACAATTGTACCAAATTCATCAGATTTATTTTTAAAAATCCATTTCGTTCCAATGACATTTGAATCTTTTAGTCTAGGCACAAGAGTCCACACATCATTTCTAACAAATTGCTCTAATTCTTTCTACATTGCATTAATCCACTCATCATGAAGTAAGGCCTCTTTGACATTTTTAGGCTCAATTTGAGAGGTAAAGCAAACATACCTAACCATTTCATCATACATTTTTCTTGGTTGTTCCCTTGTTCGAATTCCTTCATTAAGATCTCCAATGATCTTCTCCGAGGGGTATTTTTTTGAACCCTTGCATATGGCATTTTTCTTACTGGATCCGCAATGTCAAATTCTGTAGAAACAACATTTTATGTATGATGTTCATTCTTTGCTGATTCAACTATTACAGACTCTGTTACAACACTATCTGTAACATGTTTATCTCCAGAATGTTTGACATTATCTCTTTCTTCCGTATTCCCAGTTTTATCAGCAAAGTTGGTGATCTGTTCTTCCCTGGAAAATTCAGACAAGTCTTTGTAGTCATCAAAAACTACATTAGTTGACTCCATGATAGTTTGTGATCTCATGTTGTACATGTTGGGAATAGTGTCCTAGAATCATGAGATGTAAAAGGATATTTATTATTTATTTAATAAAATAGTTTATTCATATATGAGAGAAAAGGTTCATAAGATAATAGGTCATGACATAAGCTGCTTTGTTAACTGACAGTTGATTTATAATTTTCCAGAGTAGCTCTTTGCAGATGTTGGAATACTTGCAATTGAACATGCTGATTTTGCATAATTTCAATGACCATTGTTTTTTTAGTTCTAATACAAGTCCTTTATGTAGTACTCTGCTTATGCTTATTTGTTTTAATCCAGGGAGTGCTAAGAATGTCTACTACTGGGAAAAGGAAGTTATGTAAAAAGGGATTTGCAATTGAAGATAAAGACCGGCAATTAGTTCTTGACTCACCAGCAAGGAATACTAGAAGCTATGCAAAACTTTGAAGGGGTATGAAAACCCTCTACTTAGTACCAATTTGTTTTAAGCATACCATTATATGTAGACTACATGCTCATATACTTAAAAGTATTTAGGTGTAGCTGTGAAGTATCTATAATCTTTAATGTAGTTTCTCAACGATTTTGACGTAGCTTCTCAAAGGTTAGTATTCTTTTATCTCTGACTCTCATGATTGTATGTCCATTACTGAAAATGTGACATACTTTGGACATTAGAATTTCAATTGTGTTGTTACTTGGCAATCAAGATGAAATTTATTTTGCTGGACTAATTTTGTGATAGGTCAATAGTTGCTTTGCTGGAGGAGATGACCTTTTTGTTGGAGCATTTTGTCAAGATGCATTATTTACTTAACCGTTTCACTTGGCTAGACGTTTTGGATACTTTGATATCTCTAGCTATGTCAATTTTATTTTCCGATTTGTGCTTTAATTTCTTTCTTGTTCTTTTTTTTTGGGTGATAGTATCCCAACGAGTCACCTCAGATTAATCTTATAGAGTCAAAGGGTCTTGATGAACAAAGGCAAAAGCTTTGAGTGACTTACATCCGAGACAAAGCGAGTGAACTATCTTCTTGTTTAATGCTCGTGGAATTTGACTTGGGAAATCATTTCAGTGGGGTATTATTTGAGAAATTGATGGGTTGAAACGATGTAATATAACTAAAGATTTTGGAGTTATTCAATTATAGATGATAGATAAATTAATGCAATCCCACATTAATTTTGGGCAGAAAATGCGTCTTTGAAATCATTAATGGAGTCTTGAAATCTCTTCTTCTGTCACCTTTCTCATATGAGAATATTTTATGGCTATGTTTCTAAACCTATTTTACTTTCCTAATTGTACAGGTTTAACAGTGGAGATGACTTTTTTGTTGAAACATTTTGTCAAGATGGAAGGATTTACTTCACCATTGCACTTAGACGTTTTGGAGATGACTTCTCTATTTTCTTTTCTTGTTTTGAATGTTGAAGTTTTGGACACTGTATGAATTATGTTGTAGACATAATTTTATTGACAGCTTGGTAGATACTGATAACAATTGATATGTTGAATGTTTTTATGTTTTAATTTGAATGTTCCTATTTAGATATATCACATATCTCGGAATTACCATTTATTTGAATGAATTCAAAAGGATATTAATAATAATTTTAAAAAGTTACAACAGTATGAACATAACAAGGAAAAAAAGTTATTAATCTGTATTGTAGCTATGCTAAAGAACTGTAAGAGGATGAAAATAACTTTTCTTACACGCTATAATACTTCAATTCTATAGCGCTTTTTATAACTCTCTTGAAACACTATGTTTTCTTAGGACCTATAATAGCGCCCGCTGTCCTAGCGCTCTAAAAAGCGCTATTGATAGTGATTAATAGCGTTTTTCGTCAGCTACAAAAGGCCTTTTGTGGTGTAGTGTCGTTTGGAAGAAGAACTTTAATGACCAAAACATGGTCATTTAATATATGAATTTGGATGTCGGTCTCAGTATTGGTCCTTTTGATATGGTTACAACTTATAAAACAAATGCTCTGAAAGATATGGTTACAACTTATAGATCCATGTTTTTTTTTTTTTTTTTTTTTTTTTTTTTTTTTTTTCACGAGTTTTTGGGGGTTTTAGTCTTTCACGAGTTTTAGTGGGTTACTAATTTTGATACAAGTATGGGCGTTCATTTCACTTTTCCAGGTTTTTCCTTTTGGGGTTTTACTAGAAAGGTTTTATCTAATTTTCAAAGGGGTAGTTCCTTAGTTCACTGCTTGTTATTTTTAGCCTCCTGTTGTCTTTTAGAAAGTTTTTCGTTTCTTGTTGTTGCTGATATTTGTCTGTTTTTGAGTTTTGCTCTATTTTGTCCCTTTGTATTATTATGCATTTATTTCTTTTATTTACTAACATAGAGTGAGGAATTTGGTGTATGATAAGAGTTTTACTGGGCGTCAACCTATTTAAGATGTCTTAATCACCATAATTAAATTATTCTTTCTCATCATTTATTCAAAAAAAAAAAAAAAGAAAAAAACACATGGATCTACTTTATAAGAATAATACAAGTATCACGGTCCTCAATTCATTGAACAGCTGGTCATGCTTAAACCTGATAAAAGTTGGACTTTCCATACATCACAGAACAAGTACTACAACATGTAATACACATGGTCCTACTTTATACTAATAATACAAGTATTATGGTCCTCAATAAGTGAATAGCTGATGATGCTTAAATTTTCTTTATATGAGCTAAGGGAATGAAATAATTGGTATAAGAGATTATTAACACTTTATCATTGACAATTGTATGGCTGCTTTAAAAAAAGATTAAGATTGTACCCTCAGGTTCTTGCAGATGAATCAATGGAACTTGAAAAATAGAGAAATAAATTAGAAAACAAATAAAATGTCTTATTAACTTTGTGCTCAATATGACGAGAGATTTAAATTGAGATCAAAATCTTCATGGGGAAATCGTTGTTAATAACATATTTATAAAATTAAATTAAGTGAATAGAATTTTTAAAATAATTTGAAGTAAATATATAGCAGTTTATTATGTAAATGATTCATTTACGACTGATAGTTTTTTTTTACGTGAAAATTTTTTTTACCAATCATAAAAGATAACCTACAAGTTATAAAAATACAACTTGCAGATTATTAGTTTTATAAGATAAATTTATAAACAACTACCATGACCACATAAGTACATAATTAATAAGATTTGACCTAAATGAACTGGATATGCTAATGCTAGCTATAGTTATGAATTATATGATACACACCACAAAGATTTATTTCACATCAACTTAAATCGTATACAATCCATGGAGAGCTTATTAGGTGGTGACCTCACCAAGACTAATATTTCAACAACTGATTAAGCTCTCTTTAATTAAGCATAAAAATATATCACACAAGTAGCAGAACAATATAATAACTGCTGGATATACCAAAGCATTACTAGTACCATAAGGATATTTCCTTAATAATTTGATCATATCTATATGATCTATGCCTTGCCAAAGTGGACATCAAGATCTTTGCTGATGTTGACCATCAGTTTAACGTATTTATCTGGAGGTGGAACACCCTCATGCAGCTTCTCATACTCAATGCTCAGTTTTGCAATGCTGCCTCTACCCTTAGGATTGGGAACCACATGATAAACTGGCTTAAAGAGCTTGTATTCATTGAACACATCTCCTTCAAATCCATTCAGAATCACTGCCTTGTTTGCATCGTCAAATTCCACCTTCTCCTTGAACACCCCACTGGTCCCATCTAATTAATAGTTTTTACAACAAAATCATCATGAGACAAAACATGTAATTACCCACAATTATTTATCTTTTCGGAAAGAATAATACTAGGGATACTAATTCTAATAAAATTCTCATGCCAATTGATTGATGTTTAAAAGATTACCACATCAATTATTAATAGGTGTTACAAGAGTTCAGATTAAAGAATTTGTGTCCTCTAGCATTATTATTTGAGTAAACCATGATAATAAGGATTTTTGTTTTTGATCGGGAAAAAACATATTAATAAAGAGCCACTAACGGGCTAAGATACAACACAAATTCAAAGTCATAGACACAGGCGTCACATAGATAACTAGACAATATAAATGCATCCCTCATTAACCTAACAACTGAGAGAACTCCTACAATAAGTGTTGTACAATAATAAGATTCGATAACATAGAACACTATAATAAGATTTTTAATTTTTCTTAAGACTTTTAATGAAGGTTCCAGATTGTCATAGTGTTGCATGCGTGTATGACACGACGGTTAATTAAAAACCGTAATCGTATATATTGGAAAATTAAAGACTCTGAATACGATGACAGTTTGCCAAACTTACATCGTATCTTTTAATGACGGTTTTTAACCGTCGTCTTATCTCTTATGTCTAGCAGTAGAAACAACTGAAGATGAACCACATCTTAGGCCCAACATGGCACCAATTAGCTACACATCTTAGCCAGGAACTTGTAGATATCTGTAGTCTCAACTGGCCCTCCTTAAATAATCAAGCGATGATAAATTATTATTGCTCATGTTTGGAGTTAGTTTTGTTTTTATTTTTCACATTTTTCGAGAAAGAAAAAATAAAAATAAGAGAGAAACGACGTTTGGCACAATTAAAGACAAAAAACAGAAATGAAAACGATATTTTGATTTAGTGTAAAATGAGAGAGAAATGAAAAACGGCTTTTAGTCATTTTTCATTTTTTGTTTCCATTTTCTTCCCTCTTGAGCACAAAGAGAAAGAGACATTAATGAATTTTTTTTTATACTGAAAACAATCTCTTGATAAAGCTACCAAACGCATTTTCAAACATGATTTCTGTTTGAGATTGAAAACATTTTCATTTTCATTTTCATACAAAAATAAAATCATTTTAGAACGAGTTCTAAACACACCCATTATGTCTTCCCATACTTAAGAAGGATCAATTAAGCATAGGATGTTTGGTAACTAATTATTTACATTTTAACAAGCTAGCTACCTTAATTGGATGATACGGCTTGAAATCCGACATGACTCGTATGTTACCATCTGAATACCATTACGTGTCCATGGCATATCTCCTGTCTAATTTCATAAATGTCACAAGAGAAACAGAATTTTCCATGTGCAAGGAAAAAGTATTGAGTCTTTTTTTTTAATCACATTTTTAATTGCTTTAGATCTTGAAATATGTACGGGTAAGGTTGTCCAGATTATTACTTTTATTAAAAAAAAAAAAAAAAACAAGAAGAACAAGAATAAAAAAATTGGGTTAATTGATGGATCAGATCTGTTCCAACCAACCATAAGCAAACCACCATAACTCTTTCTTCTAAAACCACAGCTTGAGTTCCAGCCTCAGCCTCATACTCGAGAAGGTGAGTTTCAAGATCTTTCGAGACATCAGAGAGAAACTGAAGCAGTGTGTGGGGGTCTATAATTTCACCATGATGCTTTTCATACTCCAAAGTCCAGTGCAAAAGGCTTCCCTCACCCTCAGGTTTGGGATTAGCTTGGACAGTGATAATGAAGCTCTTGAAGTGCTCCAAAAGGTCTCCTTCAATCACTCTGAAAGTGATTAAATTTTTCTCGTCATCTATGGCTTCAACTATTTCCTTCGCGACTCTCGGCTTCCCATCTAAGGTTTCATACACATCGGGTTTAGATTTCACATACATAATAATATTTTGAAATTCAAAGTGAACAACTAATACTTTGTTTGTTTTGAGAGTTCTGGCCTGGTTCTGGACCATAGTTCTTTATTCGCTACAGTATTTTTCTCTGATAAAAAATTTAAATTTCAAAAATCAAAATCATGAACCATGGTTCTGAACCCATGAACTAAATGCCACATAAAAGACGGATCACGAGGTTTATCCATAATATTCTAAAATTATATTACATACAAGTGGTCATGAATATTTTTGAACAGTCTAACTCCCATTAAATTTTTTGTTAAATTTTGGAAGAGTTGATTTTCATATATTTTCTTTTATATGCTAAAACAACATGCACTAGTGTACTACCATAAAAACGTGTTTCATTTTATACCATCATGAGATGAAAATATCAAAATTTCTACCATTGAAGAAAGGGAGATTACGATTTGAGCTTATTTAGAAATTATTACCATGGACCTAGTTCCAGAAGATGACAGAGCCCACAGGCCCCCATTCACCTTCATGTATTTCACAACCATGAACTTTGTCGCTTGAATGATTGGATATGTGGTGAGGTCTGTGCTTGAATATGTCATGGAACTTCTTGGGAGAAGCTTTGCTTTCTACATCTGTCTCCAGCTTTCCATAGACGTCAGACGACATTTTTTTTATTTTTTTTTTTTTCCTTTTCTATATGATAATAGAGAAGACTAGGAACAAGAAGGACGATTTGTTGGGAGAAAAAGTATTTGCACTTAACACCCTTTTATAGAAGATCATCATACCAATAAGAAATTCCCTGTAGCCTTAATTATTTTTTCCATACTATTACGTGATTGTATTTAACGGGATTATTTTAAAGTGCTACTTGATCACGTGAATTCCTTTAACATACTATTATTGTAGTCGATGAACATCTAATCTTATAAAGTAAGGATGTAAAGAAAAAATACCTAAACTTATCTTATCAAAATCATGTCATGCTTTACTGAGGAAGCAGAAGCTTAATTGAAGGAAGAACGAAACGGTATAATAAAAGGGTAAATCAATTAACCTGTTCATTCACACAGAATATCAGAAAAATGTTTTTAAAAACCGCTGATTTACGCAAAACAGAAGCTGAAAATTACCCTATTCTATAATTAAAGATAATGAAAAAGTAAAATTTTCCATATTTTGAGCTGGAAACTAAAATTGAAACTATTAGACATAAAGAAAAAGAAAGCGCAATCGGAACTGAAATCTGAATTTACTCGGTCAACTTAATATGAAAACAAAAGTTACTAAAAAAACACATATGTTTCGTCTAAATTCGACATCGCCAAAAGAACTCATGAAAATCAAAAAATTTGTTTTATTTGACTTTGAGATGTTCCCAACGCGCCATAAAGACTAGATCCTTATACACAGCATCATCTATCCCTTTTTACGAATACTATTCTTATCACTGTATTCTTAAAAACTTACTAAACTCCCCGTCTAAAGGGTAAGCTACATAAGCAATAAATTGATTTTCTTCCCCAGCAACGGGCTCGATGTTGTAGCATTGACCTTTGTAGCGATCAAGACTGGTAAGCCCGTCTTCTTGTACCCTTGAATCCGCAAGTACCGGCGGAGGACCAAGAAATTACCCGCCCCCGTACATCTGTAACAGTCACAATACTATTGTTAAAACTTGCTTGGACATGAATAACTCCCTTTGGTATTCTACGTACATTTCGTTGAGCACAACGGAAATTTATAATTTAACAAGAATTAAATTATTTTCTCAAAAAAAGAAAAAAATGAAATACTAAATAGATTAGGGGTTGTTTAACGGAAATTCTGAATCAAAAAAGAAATACTAAATTCTCAAAAAATCCCGTGAGAAATTTGACAGAAATGTTTAAATTGCCAACGCTTTAAGTGTTTAGGAATTGTTTTTCCAAAATTGAAAGAATAGAGATCAAATTGACACTTACTAAATAGATTAGAGATTATTTGTGCCAATTACACTCTTTTTATTTTGTTGATTTTAAACTGAGTAGTCGGTATTTCTATTGGGCTTGCCTCACCTCACCCTTTTCCTTCAGGTGGTGTATAGATTGTCATAATAGCTAGATTACAAAAATATTTTCAGTTGTCTCTTGGTAATACCCTCCAGCGAGGCTATGGATTTCCTTTTATGTGTAATAGTTATTTGAACTTGTATTATAGGATTAAATTCCTAAATGAATCTGTATTGATGGATACTAAATATTCTTGGATGTAAATGAGTGATGCATAATGAACGCCTCTTTATGATAGTTTGTCTTATCTCTATGTTTTACATGTAGACACATTATTGTGGTTGTTATTGATCGATTTCAAATCAGGGGATTCTTTCATATTTGTGCAGGAATCTACATTTTAGAAAGACTTAAGTCTAGTTCATTTTACCGATTTGAGTTTATTATAGTAAAAACTTTTTAGAAACAGTCACATTTAACTTTCTTGTTACAGTAAAAAACTTTCACATAAAGTCACATCTTAACTCGAATTAAAAACTAGAATTATCGAACTAAACGGACCCTTAATAAATTTACCATTGAATGCGGTTATGGGTCGTGACAATTAATTTCTTTCTTTTATTTTTTATTATTTCTTTTTTTTAGCAATTTTGAATTTTTCATTTAAATTTAGAATATTTGGATGATGTGCAGTGTTTGGTCTTGGGAGAAAATGATTTTCAACAGTATCAGTGTTCAAGCAAAGGTTAGAATTGTTTCCGCACTGCTAGCTAGTTTGATGAAAATTGTTTTTGTTTGGCCATTTTCAGGGTTTTTTTTTTTGTTTCTTTTTTGTTAATAAAGGGTCGAAATTGTGTAAAATTAAGAAAATAGTCGGTTTTCTCTTTATTATCAACTTAGTGGTTAATTACTGATTAAGTACTTAATCTATCACTAATTAATTTTAGTTATCACTGATCATTGGCAAGGAGGAATTTATTCTATTGATCTTGACAAGGAAGAATGAAGAAAATACAGTAATGGGGAAAATTTTAGCTTTGTTTCTAATAGCACTTCACGTCCTTCATTAATGACGTCAGGTTTGGAAACAGCTTCACCGTCTAATGAATTGAAGGAAGATGCTTCTTATGATCAAAAAAGTGTTGAGGGTTACATCTTAAGATTTATCGATAGTGATGATAAATCATATGATAAGTCCAAAAGTCGTATAGACGGGATTAACTTAATAGTGGAGAAATTTGAAACCTGTTTAGTTCGCTGATTCGAGTTTTTAATTCGAGTTAAGATGTGACTTTATGTGAGAGTTTTTTACTGTTTTAAAAAAATTAGGCCCCGTTCATTTCGCTGATTCGAGTTTAGAATTCGAGTTTTGCTACAGTAAAAAGCTCTCACAAACAATCACATCTAACTTTTTTGCTACAGTAAAAAGCTCTCACATAAAATCACATCTAAACTCGAATTAAAAACTCGAATCAGCGAACTAAACGGGCCCTTAGACGTGACTATTTCTGAGAGCTTTTTACTGAAACAAAACTCGAATTCTAAATTCGAATCGGTAAAATAAACGGAGCCTTGATAATTACCAGAGAAATTGTAGTAAACCAAGTTTTGATACCTTTGAGAGTAAATATCAGATATATCAATCATTGGAAATTAATAGGTCATTCTCAATTTTCAATTTTTTGTTTTCAAATTTTAACTTTTGATTTTTAATTTTTTTTTCTCTCTCTTCTTTAAACTCTGTTTCTCTTAGAGGTGACAATTTATATTAAGGGGTCATGTTCGGGTCAACCCGTTTATTAATCATGTCAGAACATATAAAAAAAAAAACCAAAGAAGATGGGTTAGGGGCTTGTTATGAAAGTCTCTTTTTGAGGGTGTCAATCTAATTAAGACGTTTTAGGAGATCTTGATACTTGTGGGCTCAAAAAAAGAAAAAATGTTGATACAAGTACAATAAATATTATTATTATTATTATTATTATTATTATTTTGAAATTAGAGAAAAAATAACTGTCAAAGTAACCTTAAAATCCTTAACTAACTCTAAAACTAAATAAATAAATAAACAACCCTGACTAGGTTTACATCGCTCAAGAAAACTAAAATTATTACCCTCTACTAGTCCTCCACTATTTATCTATTATAATTAGCAATGAAAAGTTAATACAAAGTGCTAAGAAAATGCTATAATCTGATATGATGGTAATAGATTATTGGCTCACCTCTCCCTTTTCCTTCAGGTGGTGTATAGATTGTCATAATAGCTAGTAGTGCTGCAAATTCGGGCGGCGGGCATGCCCGGTGCCTCTTGCCGCCCGACCATGGTATTTTCAGGCATGGGTTCGGGCAGCCCGAAAATATTCATCCTCCCCGACTGCCCGCCGCCATGGAGAAGTCGTCCCCCGCCGTTCGCCGGAATTTTTTTAAATTTTCCGGCATGACCCGATTGCCCGAATTTTTTTGACCGTTAGCCCGAAAATGCTCGAATTTTAAACCAAACGGATCTTTTTTGCCCGAACCCGACCCGAACCTGAATTTTGCCCGAAAAATCAAACCCAACGGTCGGATTTTTACCGTTGCCCGACCTGCCCGAAAGCTGCATGAACTGCCCGAAAATTATACTAGCCGTTGGACCCGAATTTTTGGGGGAAAATTTTTTTGTTTCAACCCAAAAATTTTCCTATAAATACCCCCCCTCCCCCCAACTATTTTCCTCACCCAAAAACTCTCATTCTCTCTCAATTTCTCTTAATCTCTCTTAATCTCGCTTAAATCTCTCTTCATCTCATTTAATTTCTCTCAAAGCGCTCTCAATCTCTCTTATTTTTCATAATGGCTTCTTTTAGTTATGGTAGTGATATTCCCATTGATGCCCAATTCAACATCAAAGAAGGGTAATTTTCTAATGTTTTTCAAATGCAGGAATCGCAAACTATGGAAAGAGTTGCTGATGAAACTGCAAATCCGACCCCTAGTGGGCGTACTAGAGGTCGGGGACGTAATGATGGTGGCATTGGTGGCCGTGGAGGAGAGGTAAGCGGTAGTACTAGTGCAAGTGTTGCAAGTTCTAAGAAGAAATGTAAGTGCACCTCAGCAGTTTGGAAGCACTTCAACACATTCGAAGATGTCGAAAATAACGGTAACATTAAATACATAGCTCAATGTAAATATTGTGATGAGAAATTACAAGGTAACGCTATTCACGGCATTACACACTTAAGAAGATACTCTGAAAAGTGTCTTCAAAAGTAAAGAGACGGAGCTGATCTCCGCCAAACGTAATTATCGTTTGACCGCCAAATCGGCGGTCTAAGCACGTGAAAATACGATCCGCAAGTTGATCGTATGGAAATGACATGATTAATAGCCACATTAGATCAACCACTAAGTTTTATTGAACAAAGAAATTGGCAGTTGTATATTAAAATTATACATAATCCTAATGCACAATTTTTTTCTAGAGGTCTAAGCACGTGAAAATACGATCCGCAAGTTGATCGTATGGGAATGACATGATTAATAGCCACATTAGATCAACCACTAAGTTTTATTGAACAAAGAAATTGGCAGTTGTATATTAAAATTATACATAATCCTAATGCACAATTTTTTTCTAGAACTACTCTTAGGAAAGATGCATTAAAATTATATAAACAAGAAAAGGAAGCATTA